TGTCCCATTTAGCATGGGAATTGAGTTGATGTTAGCAGAAATTGTTGCAGCAGATGCATTAGCTGAAATAAAACAAAAATGCTCACATCAATAACCATAATCAATAAAATTCAAATAATGACAATCCCCATCCAAGATATCGGGCACAACATTAATATCAGTCTTTGGACAGTAATATTAACTTGTAAGTGATACCTTGTTGCAATGATCAAACATTGACAATAACTCATGTCAAATAATGAAACTATCTTTGGATCGATTCATTATTCACATGTAAACCTTATAATTGTCACACGCTTATCATCGCAGATGTGTATACAGTCTAAATAAATATTAACCTTCCTTTGGGCCGATTAAATATTTACACGAAAGCATACACACAAACATCACACAATCCTCATGAACAATCTACACAAGAGAGGTTACTTTGGCAACTTCTTGTTTCAATTAATCACTTGGAGTGAGAGACAGCCTTAATACCTTAGTGTCATAATATTTGAATTAAATAATTGATTAAAAACCGAATTAGATTTAAATTAAAAATTTTAATTTAAATCAACTGAATTTCCAAAAACTTAATTGGGGTCTCACAGCTTAATTAGGGCCCATAACTTAATTGAATAAATTAAGTATACCAAAGTGGACCCATGAAAAGCCGAGGCTTAACCATAATGAACATGAAGTTCCCTTAACTTCGAACGCGAGGTTCGACTGTATTGAGTACGAGACTCACTTAAGCACGAACGCGAGGTTCGTTTGAGAACGAACGCGAGGTCCTTTAAAAAAGATGAACGCGAGGTTCGTGAACGAACGCGAGGTTCGTTAAAAAAAAGATGAACGCGAGGTTCGACTGAAGCACGAACGCGAGGTTCGACTGAAGCACGAACGCGAGGTTCGTCTGAAGCACGAACGCGAGGTTCGTCAGAAGCACGAACGTGAGGTTCGACTTGAGAACGAACGCGAGGTTCGTAAAAAGTTGAGCTTGACGCTCACCTGAGTTGAACGCGAGGTTCACCTTAGAACGAACGCGAGGTTCGTTTAAAATTGAGCTTGACGCTCACCTGAGTTGAACGCGAGGTTCACCTTAGAACGAACGCGAGGTTCGTTAAAATTGAGCTTGACGCTCACCTGAGTTGAACGCGAGGTTCACCTTAGAACAAACGCGAGGTTCGTTAAAATTGAGCTTGACGCTCACCTGAGTTGAACGCGAGGTTCACCTTAGAACGAACGCGAGGTTCGTTGAGCGCGAAGCTCGGTTAAAATTGAACGAACGCGAGGTTCGTTTGAAGCTTACCGCTTCGCCAAAATTTGAGGTAACCACCTTCTTAATGTTCGCCACGTTTCACGCACGCACGAACCCTTAGGGTTTCAAATTGAAACCGCCGCCGACAAACCCAAAAACCTTTGATTTTTATTTTCAAAACAGATCCAGAATTAGAAAAAATTGAAGAAAAATCAAAGAAAAAATCTAAAAAGTTACTGTTCATCCGAAAAAACTTTACTAATCAGCCAAAAAAAATTTCGTTACTGTTCATCCGAACATTACTGTTCATCCGAGAACAAAACTGAATCTTTAACCAGAGATTTAAGATCAAAAAACCCAATAAAACTTAAATCCCTAAGAATTAATCAAGGTGGCTCTGATACCACTTGTTAGATCTAAATCATAAAACTTGAGATCTAAAACCATAAAGCCATGATTAATTCGAAGAGATTAACAATAATCAAAAGAGCGGAAGCTTATACCTGAATCCATTGATTGAACTTGAGATGAGTTTTGATCTTCTAACCTTAGGGTTTCTCTAAATCCGAATTTCTCTAACTAGATGGGGGTGTAGAGAATTAGAGAATGTAACCCTAGGTTAGGGACCATAACCCCTTATTTATAGATGTTGTTCTTTTGTAATTTAGTCCCTCAATAAATCACAATTACAACCTGGTATCTGCACATATAACCCCATGATTATATTTAAATACCCATTAACCCAACTTAATTGATCACTTTAGTGGGTTATCCTGAAAGATAGCAATACATATTGATTAATCATATGTGCCCACAAATAGATTTATTAGATTAAATCCAACACTATCGTGATTAGGAGTTTAAGTTCTATCATGATTAGGAGTTTAAGTTCTATCATGATTAGGAGTTTGGGTTTTATCATGATTGGGAGTTTGAATCTTATTCTAATTAGGAAGTTAGGCTAGAGATAGGGTTTTGGTTTCCCTATATAAATTCTTCTATAGGTGGAGGAAAAAACCATGAAGAAAAAATAGAGATGTAGTAGATGAGAGAGAGAGAGGGGTTCGTAGTCTTTATCCGTGCAAAAGATTACAAGGAGTGGGCTATGGAGAGAATATGAGAGTTAATTATGTATGTGAGGTTGAGAGATTGAGAGACGAGAGTTGAGTGGTTCCTCTTGTTGTTCTCCCTGATACATAGTGAATTTCTCGTATTGTTGTCCCGTGGACGTAGGTCGAAGTTGGTCGACCGAACCACGTAAATCTCGGTGTTCTTTTTTTCTTGATTGTGGTTGTTCTATCTTATTGATTGGGGTTATAATGCTGACGTGGAGGGGGCTTGAAACATTAAACGTTACTTTTTGGGGCTATTCCACATGTCGCAAAATACAAGGGGGTTCGTCACACGAAGTTCCAACTTTTGAGGCCTGGACACATTTTTCCCAAAAAAGAATGTGACAAGATCTTACCAAATTGATGAAAATATGTCCAAGGAAGTGTACGTATTGCCAAAACTAAAACCAGTTCTATCATCGAATCATGCACGTAAAGAATATGTTTAACATGCTTGTTAAAACAATTATGTGTACATATATTTTGAAAATGTCTATTTCCGCTCTCTGAAGATGATATTAAGGGTGCGAAAAAAGTCTGTATCCATGGGTATATTCATATTTATCGGGATAATGATATGATTACTAATTAATATTTATATCCGATAGAATATGGTGGCTACGCATATTTAATGAAATATCTAGATTCATGTCCGGAATATCTGAATAAATAGTGATCATACAATTGCAATTGTTTTCACCATTAGATCAATTAATGGACTTATATAGGGTTAATTTTAATGACCTATGGGATCCAACCTTAGCTTTTCAGATATAACAAACATATTAATGACCTCTCTTGTAGCATATTAGTTTTCTCATATCCGTGTTGTATCCATATATATATTTTTTCTCTTATTTGGTTCATATCCATTTTTGACTTTGGTGGATATATGCATGAGTTTTTCTTACCATGATATATCCGTATTCGTATAAGTACCTGTAAAATATGAATATGATAAGTACCATGTATCATATATGATACGTCTACACTTGTATGAGATATACATAAGACCATCTTCAATGGCAAGGCAAAAATTGCCTTTCTCTCTCCTTCCACCTCACTTTATTCTCCCTCCACATCACTTGCCTTTTTCAATTGCCTTTCAATTCCACAACAACTAATTTTTCAAAAAGTTTTTCACTTTATCTTTCCTCCACATCACTCAATCATGATAATTAAGTAAAAAAATAAGTTTTATTTGCTTTGTCCAAATAACACAAACTCAAGCTCTATTAATAGATCTTGAAAAATAATAAATAGTGGTAAAAAAATAAAAAATTAATTTCGAGTAATTATTGATCAAAACAGTTATTTAAAAACAAGGTGAGAATAATTGTAAAAACTTTATGACACGCGGGGCCCAACAAGAAATTTAACACAAAGGCAAAATTTGCCTTCCATTGTCTTTCTCTCTCCAACTTTTTCATTTGCCTTTCAATTTGCCTTGATATTAGATGTAATAATTTTTGAGTTGCCTTGCCATTGCACTTGGTCTAAAGGTGAGAAACTATAAGGACAACAAGAGACACCTTAGTTGTGCATTTTATAATTTATTATCCTTGATTCGCAGAGGTGATAAATTGTGTATTCACTGAGTCCTTCCAGTGACATGACCGGCCACATTGATAAGGACATTGACGTCTGTGGAGAAGAAAAGTAGCAGGAAGACTAATTCAACGCGGAAAACGAACACCCTTCTAAGACAGAGAAACTGATGTGACCATCGACGTTTCGTAGTGACCACGCCAAATATTTATTGTCTGGCACGCTATTGTGAGTGTTGAGGTTATTAAGGATCTGATCTAGTTTAATTAATACCCTTCAAGAAACTTGACCAAATGAATGAATGCCGCTGCAGCTGGATATAGGAATAGGATTTTGACTCCAAATACAGTACGTAGGACGTAGGATATAATAGGCTTTTGACTCGAAGGGCCTGTTTGGTGATTTCCTAAAAAAACCAAAAAATAGAAATAAAAACCAAGAAATCTCAAAAAGTACAATTTCATACATTTTCATCCCTAAAACTCACCCACAATATCTAATAAAATATTATTTTTATCCAACAACTCATCCACCATATCTAATAAAATATTATTTTCATCCAACAACTCATTCATCATATCCACCACATCTAATAAAATATTATTTTCATCCACAACATCGCTCAACTCATCTCATCTCATATTTAAAAATCACTCACATCATCCAATAAGATTGTGACAACTCATCCCATCTCATTAACATTTCATTTCTTTGTTTTCCTCCCAAAAAGCTAGGAAAACAATTTACTTAAGTGTGAGTCATATCATCCAATAATATAATGACAACTCATCTCATCTCATCTCTTTTCTTATTTTTAAGAAATAACCAAACAAAAGAAAACAACGTATTACAAGAAATATGTTTCTTATAATTCATTTCCTTATTTTTTCTGCCAACCAAACAACATCAAAACAAGTTTTCTTAAAAAATCACGCACATCATCCTATAATAAGGTGACAATTCATCTCATCTCATCTCCATTTCTTTGATTTCCTTCTTTTTTTAGTCAACCAAACAATCCAAAAACCTATTTTTCTTAGAAATAGGTTTCCTTTTCTTTGATTTCCCTCTTTTTTTAGGCAAACAAACAGCAACACTTGAAAGGCATCTCGATCCTCCAAACATGGGTCTCCTCCACCTTCTCCTCCCTCTCCTCCTCTCTCCTCCAAGTAGTGCTGCCAACCTTGCCTACTACTTCTGTGAAAACACTAATTACACTGAGAACAGCAACTTCCAAACCAACCTTAACCAACTTCTTTCTCACCTCTACAACACCTCCATCTACTTCACCTTTGCAAATCTCACAGAAGGATTCATTCCGGGCCGTGCCTATGGCCTCTTCCTCTGCCGAGGTGACATCAGCCCCTCTGACTGTGCGAATTGCATCGGAGCCTCCACTGACAAGGTACTACAGATATGCCCTGCCGCCAACCAAGCCACCCTCTGGTACGACGTCTGCCAGCTCCGCTACTCCGACGAGCCTTTCTTTTCCTCGTTTGACAACAACATAGCTACTTCCTACCCTGAAGGCCCGAAGGAAAATGACACAGCTGACGTGCTTCGCAACGATGTGAGGGAGCTGATGAGCAGTCTGTTCTATCAGGCTGCAAACAATTCTCCGATCCTATTTGCTACGGGTGAGATATTGTACGAAGGTGATGGAAAGAAGAGGATGTATGGGTTGGTACAGTGCACAAGGGATCTCTCCAGGGATATGTGCAGTCAGTGCCTGCAGCAGATCCTCCCTCGGTGTTGCGACTCAGACATTGCCGGTGGAATTCTAGCAAGGAGCTGCAGTTTTAGGTATGGTGTGGACAAATTCTTTGGAGGGACGCCAAATATCTCCATAACTATGCCATCCCCATCTCCATCTCTCTCTTTTTCTCCGCCAGTGCCTCCTTCCTCTGCGCTGAACGGAAAATATCATAAAAGAAGTAAGCAAACTCAATTTGTTGTGGTATTTTTCTCTCATTAAATTCTCCACCAAGTTATTGTGAGACCCACAAGTGTTCAGTCCCACATCGGGAATGTGTAAAGAATTTGTGTGGTTTAGGTAAGTCTAAGGCTCAAGTGTAATATTGGCTAATCGATTTTAGTAGTTGTTTGTGTTGGAATTGGGATGCAAGACTAGATGGGGGGTGAATAGGATTGCTAGAGTTTTTCGACAAGACTTAGAAAATGCAGAGGAAATATAATAAGCGAAAAACAAAATAGCAAACTAACACATGAACACACGAGATTTTTATAATGATTCGGATCAAAATCTTGCGTCCACTCTTCTATCTTTCGAAGGACTATGACCAATGTTCACCCGAATCAAAACTCAATTTAGTAGGTTTCAAAGACCGTACTTTGAAATCTACCTGAAACCAGTTATCTAACTAATGATCAAACGAAACTTAGTCCTAGCTAGCCCAACTCTCAATTGCCCCGGCTTAAGTATGCCATCAAACTCACAAGTTTAAAACACAACTAACCAAAACAATTAAAGCACAAAAAGAATAATTTAACAACCGTTTTTCAAATCTGTGAAGATGAAGATCTGTGGAGAGGCGGTGCAGCGATGTAAGTGTAGGATACTCCTTCTCACTGAATTAAACTCAGATGAAAAGTGAGCCAAGAAGAAGCTGAATGAGGCTCAAGGAATTTAATCAACTCTCTCAAACCCTAGAATAAAGATCTCTCATTTTTTGTGTATTTGCCTTCTTTAACTTCGTTGTCAATTATGATCTCCAACTCCCCTTAAATAGACCTTAATAGAATAGGAAAGAGATACCCAAATTTGAGTGCAAATAGGAGATACAACGAGTCAACCAATGACTAAGATTAAATCTTGAAAACTAACAAATTTCATCATAACCACTAACGGTGGATCATGACCATTGATGGTCCCTTGGTGATCATCAATGGTTTAACTGTGGCCATCGATGGTGCTGATTCTAGTTTTTGACTTTATTCGATTCTCCTATAACCAACGATGTGTCGCTGTAGACCATCAATGGTGCTAAATCTTATTTATATTTTTCTCTGATTGGCTCCTGTAACCATTGATGACATGTTGACTATCGATTGTTGTCTCTTGACCATCGATGGTTTGTGTTGTGCACAGCGGGCGGGTTTCTATAAAGCCAAATAGTGCACGAGCAAGAATGAGTATGATCACAACCAATACACAAGCACACGTCATAATCACAGAAAGACAAACTAATTTGCGTGGTTCGACAAGTTGTCTACGTCCACGGGGCAAGGAGGGAGGAGTTCTTACTATTAGAGATGAAGAGAATTATAAATAGGGCTACAAAATCACTCAAAACCCTAAAACAAAGCTCTCTAAATCTCTCACAAATCTCCCATAAAAGGATGCAACAATCCTCTCTCAAAGACTGCTCAAAAGGACTTTGCTTAACCCTAATTAATCAGGTTTAGGGCTATATATTTACAGCAAATGAAACGGGTTGAAAACCCAAATCCAACTCAAAAACCAATACGTGGTCGACCGCGGCGGTCGACTGCACAGGAATCGCGGTCGACTGCCACAGTCGACTGTGCCCAATCAAGACGGTCGACCGCCTTTAGCTCTAGAACCCACCTGTGTCTCGTGCACGTTTCTAGTCGACCGCCGCTGACTCGCGTTCAACTGTACAACCTCCTGAATGTTTCCCTGAGTTGTTCTTCGTCGTTCTCTAAATCTCCACCTCGGTGAAGTTTCTCCCAAAACTGAGCCTACACCAAAACATCCAAAATGTCCCACTTGTTGCGTCCAGTACGAAGTAAAATAAATCCATGACAACGGACTCAATCCACAACAAGTCAGGAACCCAAACGAGAGCTCAAACAATCTCCCCTCATTAAAATCAACAAATCCAACCGGCTGCATCTAAAAGACTACCTACGTATCCTCTTGCCGAATGAATCAAGCCGAATGTAGTTCATCCAAATAGCCTTCAAAGGCCCTCAACATTGAAGAATGTTCAATAGCTTCAAACAATGACCAAATTTTACACCTGAAACAACTTTGGTTAACATATCCGTAAGGTTGTCGTTCGTGTGGATCTTCTCCAATATGACGTCTCCATCATCCAAAATATCACGAACAAAGTAGAATCTGACATCAATATGTCTCGTGCGTACATGATAAACCTCGTTCTTTGCCAAATAGATAGCTGACATGCTATCATAATATACCCGAATGGTCTCCTGTGCAATCCCCAAGTCCTCTAACAATCCATGCAACCACAAAGCCTTATTAACTACTTCAGTCACCGCCATATACTCCGCCTCTGTAGTAAAGAGAGCCACTATAGACTGAAGTGTACATCTCCAGCACACCGATGCTCCTTCCAATGTAAAAACATATCCTGAAGTAGACCAGTGCTTGTCAAGGTCCTCAGCATAATCTGAATCCACATAACCAATACAATCCTGCCCATCCTTCTCATTCTTCTAAAAAATCAAACCAACATCCACGGTGCTTCTAATATACCGTAGAATCCACTTCACGGCCTCCCAATAACCCTTCCCGGGGTCGTGCATGTACCTGGATACCATGCTTACGGCCTGTGACAAATCTGACCTCATACACACCATAGCATACATCAAGCTACCCACCGCACTGGCATATAGAACCTTCAAAATGTAATCTATGTCCTCAACTGAAACATGTGACATCAAAGCTGAATGCTTGAAGTGGGGAGCCAATTGAGTACTAACTACTTTTGTATTATCATCAAAGCAGAATTTCTTCAACATCTTCTGTAGATAACTCCTCTGTGTAAGCTTCAATCTCCCCTTTGCCCTATCTCTCTCGATCTCTATACCCAATATCTTCTTAGCTTCTCCAAGATTATTCATCTCAAACTCGGATGACAGCTCATTTATTAACTTTCGAATAACCAAAAAATTCCTGGAAGCAATAAGCATATCATCAATATATAATAACAAATACATGTACTCACAATCCTGTAGCTTGTGCATGTAAACACATGAGTCATATGGGCTCCTCGTGTACCTATGGTCAATCATAAAGCTGTCGAATCTCTTGTATCATTGTCGTGGCGATTGCTTCAAACCATAAAGAGACTTCTTCAGCTTGCATACTAAATTCTCCTTTCCTGCAGCTTTAAATCCTAAGGGTTGTGTCATGTAGATCTCCTCATTGAAATCTTCGTGCAGAAAGACTGTCTTAACATGCATCTGGACCAAATCCAAATCCAGCTGTGCTAACAATGACAATAAAATCCGAATCGATGAATGCTTCACAACGGGTAAAAATACCTCGTTATAATCAACGCCCTTAAGCTGTGCATATCCCTTGGCAACTAATCTGGCTTTGAACCGAATGTCCCCAATAGAAGATCCATCATTCTTCGTTTATACCCACTTGCAACCAATAGCTTTCTTACCCTTATGTAGTTGTGTAAGTTTCCAAGTGTTGTTCATCTGAAAAGAGAGCATCTTCTCCTCCATAGCTTTCCTCCACTTGATCGAATCAGGGCTAGACTCTGCCTCCCTAAATGTAGAAGGAACCATATCATCAACGATATCCACTGATAATGCATATGCGACCATGACATTATTATATCTAGCTGGCTGACGAATCACCCTTCTAGGTCTATTTACTGCAATGGACTCCTGAGTTGTTCTTCACCGTTCTACAGTTCGAAGGCTAAAATTAACTTTCGTGCTGATTTTTACATCGTTTTAAACCGCATCTTGAACATACCTATTTATACCAAAATACCTCATCTCACAAACTATATCAGTAGTAAATGGGAGTTTGTTGTTATTCAGATAAAAGATATTGTACGGACAATGTTCTAACAATCACGCCCTTTTGATAATAACGAGACCCAAAATTTAATATACATAATGTAAAACATGGGGAGATATCTATTCAATACAAAATAAGCACATAACATGTTTCATAGTAAAGATATATAATATGCAAATCTCACCTTACAAATATGCATATGTGAAAGTATAAATGTGTACAGGTTTTCCAAAACTCCACTTGAAAGAAAGCATCAAGTGCTTAAAAAATTTTCAAATCTAGAAATCGATCATGAAATCAATTTGAAAAACATTTATAAAGCAGAAACACTCATGAAATATTTCAAAATTTCACCTTTCTCCACCTTTTGTTATTAGCAAAATAAAAATATACCAATGATATGCAATATACTTGAGAATTCAGATAAAAATTATTAGAAGATGAAAGGAATAGAAATACATACTGGTTCATAAAATAATTTGTAGAAAATAGTACAAGACACACATATATAACTTTAAAACACATGAATCAGGATTATAAGTCATATTAAAATTCACACACAAACTATGAAGATATCGATGAATACTTTGTAAAAGTAGCAATAAAAGTAATTATATTAGTTCATAAAATAAATTCAGATATATCTTATCTAGTTTGAGCCATTTTTATATACAACTTGAATTATCTTAACCTTTAGAAAATGTCCAAAATCTCGATATGTCATCTCAACCATATAGGAATTTTTAAGAGGAAGAATGATAGTGTTTGAAAGATGATGTACATCTCTAAATATGGAAAATATTTAGCATATGATAGACACCCTAAGATATTGAACATTTATATCCACAAGTGTGAGCCTTTGACCATCATTTGATAAATACACTCATTTTTACCGTAGATTTATGGAGTGTTAATCTTTGATCATCTTTTTCATAAATACATTCTTTTTGCTTAATATTTTATAGCACATATATACTTTGTACATGTATAGAAATTTTGGTGCTATATTCAAGTATAATTGACCTCAAACTTTTAGATATATCCAAAAAAATTTTACTAACAACATATAAAAAATATTTATTCTTATTTTCACAATACCAAACATGATAAGTATGATACTAAGTTGTAAAAAAATAATATGTAACGTATCGTGAACCATCTTTT